ACACTGTTGCGGGACACTCTTGCGGGACACTCTTGTGGGACACTCTTGTAGGACACTCTTGTGGGACACTCTTGTAGGGCACTCTTGTGGGACACTCTTGTGGGACACTCTTATAGGACACTCTTGTGGGACACTCATAACTCTTGTGAGACACTCTTGTGGGGCATGGTTGCGGGACACTCTTGTGGGACACTCTTGTGAGACACTCTTACGGGACACTCTTGTAGGACACTCTTGTGGGACACTCTTGTAGGACACTCTTGTGGGACACTCTTACGGGACACTCTTGTTGCACACTCTTGTAGGACACTCTTGCGGGTCACCCTTATGGAACACTCTTGTCGGACACTCTTGTGGGACACACTTGTAGGACACTCTTGTGGGACACTCTTGTGGGACACTCATACGGGACACTCTTGTGGAACACTCTTGTAGGACACTCTTGTGGGACATGCGGGACGCTCTTGTGGGACACTCTTGTGGGACACTCATACGGGACACTCTTGTGGGACACTCTTGTGGGACACTCTTGTAGGAGACTCTTGTGGGACACTCTTGTGGGACACTCTTGTGGGACACTCTTGTAGGAAACTCTTGTGGGATACTCTTGTAGGACACTCTTGTGGGACACTCTTGTAGGACACTCTTGTGGGACACTCCTGTAGGGCACACTCTTCGTACGAGACTTCCTCCAAAAGTCACGCTGCGAGGCTGCAAGACGAGCGTTTCGTACGAGACTTCCTCCAAAAGTCACGCGTCAAGTCTCAAAAACGAGCGTTTCGTACGAGACTTCCTCCAAAAGTCACACGTCAAGTCTCCAAAACAAGCGTTTCGTACGAGACTTCCTCCAAAAGTCACATGTCAAGTCCCCAAAACGAGCGTTTCGTACGAGACTTCCTCAAAAACTCACATGTCAAAGTCTGCAAAACGAACGTTTCGCACGAGACTTCCTCCAAAAGTCCAGCGGAAACACCCATCGGAGCACACACATCACGCAGCCCTGCCAAGCAGTTTCGCGATTCCAGCCCCTCCAAACGACACCCGCTCACACGCCAATCCCAATGTGACAGCGACATTCACCTCTACCACAACTCACAACCTCCCGATTCCCTGCGCCTGCCACGAATCCTTCCGCGTCCACACGTCTAACGCGCACAAAGTACTGCGCCTGCCACGAAATGTCACCTCCGTCACACATCGCAACCTCACGATTCCCTGCGCCTGCCACGAAAATCATACTTCCACACCTCAAAACCCGCACAAAGTCCTGCGCCTGCCACGAAAAGTAACAATGTCATCTCATGTGAGCTTCAACAAAATTTGCACCACACCATACGTTTGGAATGATTTCGACCCGTTCTGAGCACACTCCCATCCACCAAAATCGGCATTTCAGCTGAGACTTGTCACGAAAACAGAGCTTCGATGCCACACCCTGAAACGCAAATCCCAATGGCACGGCCACATCCAACACCCCAAAAACACGACTCTCCAAACGCTAATCCCAATGGAACTGCGCAGCAATCTGCAGATCTCACAAAACGCTGCGCCTGTGCAGCGAAATGCATCACGCTTCTTGCGCGACATGTCATTTTCACGCAAATCACAATGGACTAGCGTCGCAAACTGACACGTGACACATCCATGAATAGTCACTTGCAAAAGCTTCCCCCAATGGCAGCGCCTTAGCGACCTACTGCGGACGGTTGCGAACGGTTGCGAACGGTTGCGAACGGTTGCGGACGGTTGCGAACATAGAAGCAACGGGTCGCGAACAAGACTCTACCCCCAGACCCCCAAGAGTTAAACGAGAACCCTTCGCTACGAATTCGGGAAAAAAACACCCAGCCCATTGGTTTTTACCTGGTTTTTACTATAAGGACTTGACACTGCAAAACCAGGTCTGTCCCATTTCTGTCGTGGAAGTCTACATCCACTCCCCCCTTCTGCCAGCCTCACGGGTTGATCTCCGGACCTCTTCGGTCTCCGGACTCCAACGGCCCGGCCGCTCCGCTCTGGGCCACCCGGGCAGGTCAAAGTCAAAGAGATGAAAAGCCACCAGGCCCGAGTACTGGGATCCACCGGGATCGGCCGAGCGGATCGAAGCGGATCGACGGAGAAGCACAGCGCAGAGCTGGTTCGGTCGTCGCAGCTGGGGGATCACAGGGAGGGGGGCAGATGTCTGGGGGTGTGCAGGGGAGTCCACAGGATGGGCTGTGCTGCATCCTGTGTCCGGTCATAAGGAATTGGTCAGAAAACTTTTAAGAGAGATGAGATGGAACACCGACCCTCCAAGCGACGAACGAGTGCTGCGACGCCCGTCAGCGCCTCATGCGGCAGATGCATCCCAACGGACTGCAAGGCCAAATCCACCTGCACCTCGCTCGCTCCGCGAACCGGCGAAGGGTCTGGACTGAGAGTCGGATCTCGGGTCTCCTGACCCCCCAAAAGGGTGAAATCCTTATGCTAGGATTCGAAGCACCGTGGAGTTTATAGCCTGAATCGTGAACCAATCCATGGTCTTTACTCAGGAACCGAGACTAACCTAGACTACGAAACCAGCTCAACCATTTTCGTGGAAGGCTACGGCTCAGAAACGTCCCACCAGCCACCTTCAATCTCTTCACACGGACGACACCGGAGGGCTCCTCGGGTCCCTGGACTGTGGAGGGCGAGGCCTGAGGCCTGAGGCCTGCTGCAGTCTCTCTAAAACGTGATGGGAGATCAAGCAACCTTCTGCTGGCTGGTGGCCTCTTGGCACTTGCTCTCAGAACATCTGAATCCCCAGCCCGGACGTTTAGAGGCTTGAACAACTGATCTCAAGTTGGATCACTTGAAGTAACTGCGAAGTCACGGCTTATAAGTCACGGAGTCACGAAGAGCGAGAAGAGTTAAAGAGATCTAATCTCAGATGGGTTCTTCCAAGTGACGGACCTTCTCAATTCATTTAGATGTCCAAACAAGATCCGAAAAGACCAAGACCCTTGGAAGAGCCCAGCCCGACCCACCGTGCACCCACCCGGAGGGTTTGCGGCAGCACCCGAGCCACCTCGGAGAGGAGGCCGGTGCCATGAGGATCCAACTTCCCGAAGAGCTGTCGAAGCTCCTGCGACCCGGAGACCGGAATCCAACCCGAAGAGAGAGCGAGCTCTAGCTCAACTTCGCTCCACGAAAGACCACGCAGGTACTGTGAAAGTGGGGGCTGGTGGCATGGAAGAGAGGTCCCAGACGAAGCCTCCGGAGTTCCGGGCGGAAAAAAGGAGTTCCGCTTGCACACCTCGACCCTTGCACTCACGTCGTTCGCGAGGCCCGCGAGGCCCACGAGAGAACCGCGCGCGCATTGAATTTGGGCGCTCGACCTGATCGGTGTTCGGCGCTCTGCTTGCTTCGAGCAGAATCGGGATCGAGCAGTGGACCTAAAGGTCCTCAGACAACTCATCTCAGCGACTCATCAGACGACACCGACATCCTCTGATCTGAGCTGAGCTGAGGTCCTTGGGCCCATTCAAAACCTAAACTGTAGAGGTAGTGGTACTGTTCACAAACAACCTCCTGCACCGCAAAAACTGCTGCAAACCCATGTACTCTTGGCTTTGCTTAGATCTTCGAATGCCTTGTGGAGGCTCGGAGGCTCGTGAACAGCACCTGACTTTTTACGCTTCACTTCTGGGGAAGAAGCTCAGCGTGCACTTCTTCGGGGCTTCTGCCCGAAACGAAGCGTCGGCTTCTGCGCACGAAGATGTCGACCAAAACGAGTGACGAAAACGTCGGCGCCATCTCAGCGGGCATGCACCGGCACCTGAATCCAGGTCGTGAAAAAAATAAAGCACCAACTGAGGGTCCTTCCACCAACTCGACCGAGTCAATGACAGCTCGAAGTTGATTCGCGTTGACGAAGTGACTGATCAAAGGTGACTGGATGCACGTGTGGGTGAACAATGCGTTTTTCTACAGGAACCAAGCACAACACTTCCCAGCCCAACACTTCCCAGAAGTGCCAAGCCGAAGTGTTGCTCATTTCAGCATCTCTCCCGAGGTTTTGGCTCGACCCACCCGAGAGCGGCGAGAGCGAGCGGTCTTCGATCGAGGGTGCGTTGTAGTAGATCCCCAGACCGCTGATGCCCACAAACGTCAGCACCTCGCATGCGATGGCTTCACAGGAGGGTATATCTCCAGCTGGGAGGGTGAAACGAATGTACCTGGTCGACCATCCAAAGGGTGTCCTGTCTGGAGATCTCTAAGTATAGTGTACGGTAGCCAGGAACACCCCTTACTGGTCCTGGTCCTGGTAGACTTGTTCATGAGTTGAAACCCCCACCATTTTGGATTGTAAAACCTCTTTAGGCCTAAGCCTTTGGTGAAAATCATACGGCGGTCAACGAAAAGGGTCCGAAAGCGGACGAAGAAAACCCTCTTCAAAAATACACAGCGACCGGCCGAAAACTTTAAGAGTCCATGAGGCATCTTCTTTTTCAGGAGTCCACTCGTTCCTTGCCACCAGCTCACCAGTTGTTTTTTTTCACATGTCCTTGAAATGTATATCCCGCATAGAGCACAGTACTTCAGCAAGACTCCCACCAGCAAGAGACGCATCCAGACATGCCTTCAATCTTTGGGTTTCACCACCCCCCACTCTGACCATGTCCGTGTTTTCTGCTCGGCCGCACCAGTGCAGCCATCACCCCAGGGCGGTGCAGCACATAGGAGGTCAGGATGGTGCAACAGCTGCCCAAACAACTGGTCTTACACGCGCAGAACCTGGGGGGTACAGCGTGTCACCGGATGTCTCACGAAGTAGGTAGTGTTTATTTCTTCATGGGGTGGAGACCCGAAGCAAGGTGGACACCGGACACAACCTCTCATCTGCATGCTGCATGAATGTCGTGAGACGAAGGGTCGTCCCGAAGCATTTCTGCAGATCCCAAGCAATCTGCGGAGACTTTGCTTCTGTCCATCAACTCCAGTGGGACCTGGTTCCTCAACATCTTCGGCTGACCCTGTTCGTCTTGAGCTTGCATTGGTTGGCCCAGAGGTGGATCAACCTGGTGATGAAGAACCAGTGTGGTGAAAAAAGACCATTTGGAGACCCAAAAACTGTGGCGAACTACTCAAGAAATCCCATACAACTTGCAGCCACTGAATGACTCATTCACGAAAGCATGCACCACTTCGGAAGTGAAGCCACCACGTCCGCGCTCCGGGCTCTCCCTGACTTGGTCTCCACGGGTCCCAATGATGGGACGGGCCCACCTCCCCGCGTCAACCCCGGTCTGACCAAGTGGCGCGAGATGCGCTGCGATGAGGAAACCGAAGAACCACCTCAGATCAAATTTGGGTTTCGGTTGGAAGCTCCGTTCGAGCGACGTGCCCGGGATCCCCAGCGCGAAGGATCGAAACCTCGCACACTGACCGTTCGAGAAAGAGCTTAAGGCCGCAAGGCAGCAGAAGTGTGGCTCATGTTTTGAAGTTGTACCACTGCTGCCTAGCAGCATGCCACGGAGGAGGAAGTAGGTGGGGCCCAGCATCATGTCGATGCCAGTGAACATCATGAGCACTCCAAACCTCAGGTCCCCGAGCTCGGGGAGGGTAAGTTCCCCAATTCGGAGAAGAATGGAAAAGCCTCAGTCCGGAGCTCACGGTGGTGTTCGATCCAGTCTCTTTCATGTTGCTTTTTTGCACACCAAAAAGAGGTTGTGGCCTTGCCAACAGCCGATGATGGTTGTGGCGGCCTGACTTCGTTCGCAGTAAAGAACCCTCCAAGCTCGTCCAGACTCACGACCGGCAGTCAGGCACCGACTCCCGACCCTCCCGACTCCCCCCAAGCTCCACCCCTGCACATCCTGCCTGCCGTCCCAGTTCTCTTCTTGTTCCTTCCAGAACAAGTGGCACCCGAAAGAAGTAGGTGCGGACGTCGCCCACTCCCTCCAAACTCGGCATCGAATCGAAGCAGAGCCGTACCAGGCGGCAGCAGGCATAGGAGCCTCGGAGGAGAACAAACGTGGACCAGGGCGGATGCAGAGAGTTGGCGAAGAAGTGACCATGGATGCATGGCAAGGATTTTGTGGATATGTGTCCACGGAACTTCCGTTTTGGACTCCTGAGCTACCCCCCACCCTGGTCGTCATGATCCAGCACTTCGGGGTAAAATGAGTCGAACGACTTCCAAGGCTTAATGATGGGATTCTAGGAGTCGCCAAGCAACCGTTTGACGTGCACCTGTCCATCCCAAATCTGCTGTTGCATTCGTAACATGGGAACCTTTGCAGTCGGAACCTCCGCGTGGGTCGGGCCGAACCCGACTCGACTCCAATCGCCCATCACTGAGTTGGGCGCTCTTTCAGTCAACGAAAACCCACCAAACCATGGGAGGTTGACGGACCTGGGTGCCCGGGTGACCCACTATCAAAGAGTGTCAGTCTCAGGTCCCAAAGACCCTACAGAAGGTCCTAAAGGTGTTCCGTTTTGTATTCAACCTTGGTTCTGCGCTTTCCAGTTCGGATCTCAGGTTCCCTTGAAGCCTGCTTTGTTAGTCCTTAGCCCTCAAACACCTACTGCGCTGTCCGTGTCTTTACCTTTTCTGCCGTGGGCCAAAAGGGGGACCTTTGTTCATCAAGCGACATCCGAAAGCTGAATGCGTGTGAAAGCTGAGGTGACCCAACAGCCGGAACAGCACCCAGGAACTGAGAGCAGCACGAGACCCAAGCACAGCAAAGAGCAAGCCCCACCTGTTCATCTATAGTGGTAAATATACCAATTGATTGTTTAGTTTGTTGAAGGATCCCATCTATGAAACCACTAACTCAGATGCGATTTAATATATATATATATGTATATATTTATATATTTCTCACACTTCTTCACTCTGACTACCATGTATGTGACCCACCTGATCGGACTGCACTTTTCGATCGTGGGGCCAACGGTCCTGCACAGTGCCATGGATGCAACATCTGCGAAGCACACTGCTCAGATACACATCGTATCACAAACTTCAATTCTATGTCAGGCATACCCCGCTTGTCACAGTACATGGATGTTTCTCCTTCATGGCAACCTGAGACGCATGCGGGTGAAACCGGCTTTAGCTAACTTGGCGCCACTTCAAAAAACCTTGACGGCTCGTCAGCGATTTTCGAGGTGGATGGAAGGAACTATTGATATCCACAAGTGAACCGACATGAGGTGCATCATCTTCCACAAATGCCTCTGCAGGAGCTCGGCATGGGTGAGCAAAGGTGAGTACATCGCTATTAGGTTGGCCTTTGCGGCCTCATTGTCGACCAAGAGAAAAGAAGAAACTTGGCAGCGCTTCGCTTCCTCTACATCGGAACGCTACCATTCCAATGCCTGCAGTTTCATCACCGTCCTCCAGGCATGCATCAGTAAAAACCACAAACCGCTCCAAGGCCCGTCGCGATCTCAAAACACGAGGAGGGTCATGCTGAACGAAACCCTTAGCCCAAACAAGTTCATCTCTCATGACATCGCTCGACCTGGAGTGGCAAGTTTTGATGCGCAAGGATACTGCACGGCCAAAGGTTTGAGATTCTCCAAACTGCAACCTTCCACGAAGTGTAGTTGACGAAGCGGCCGAGAGGCTGGACTCGTTCAATACCTTTGAAATGCTATCACAGGTCTGCTGAATGCGGGATTCCTGTTGCAGCATCTTCCAAGGCTAGAGAAGAATGAAGTTGCCCTTCCAACTTTTCGCCGTCGGACAGCTTGACACCCAACACTGACCGCACGGTTCTTGTCAACCATGCCCGCAAAGGTCCTGCATAAGATGGCGACGCTGTCCACACCACTCATTCCAACCGGAAGCTTGGAGAGAGGCTGGAATTCACAGGGCTAGCTGACATGTCATCAGTTGGACGAGTCTTGTCAGACTGTCTGGGGCCAAACCTAGGCGAATCGAGAAGTGAGCTGTTCGTGAGCGTAGGGGCCCTCGAGCCACCCACGCTGCACCTCTGAAATGGTGCTGGCCCACACTTCTTCTGCCAGTTCCGTGTCTTCTGACATAAACTTGCGGCCCGCTATCATCTTGCGACTCCACCTCGACGACCTCATGAGTTGTTCGTCTGTCATGGCTGGACCTGGACTATCCGAAGTCTGGAAGAGCTGAGTAGGTCCAGACGCGCCAGTGAAAGCCGTGCCCGCCAACTGCAAGTCAAGCAACCCACTATCCTGCACACCTGCCGCTTTGAAAAGCTGGAATCTCTTATCTTTGACAATGTTCCATCAGACAGGTGACAGCTGTCATGTAGACGGTCTTCTGACTCTTGCAGTTGTCGAGCCCGAGATTCATAGCACCGCAAAACTTCACTGCGTCTCTGCTGCATTTCTTGCGTAGTTTTGCATTGAACTTACCTCCCACATCCTCATCATCAATCACTGCCCGTTGCTCACATGTGAAGATCTTGCATGGCTGTGGAATTTGTAGTTGCACTTGCACTCTAGAGGCCGACTTCCTCTGGTCCCTGCAGTAGCACGCATACTGATATACCGCCTCCTCTTCGATGGGGAACAGCTGGACACTGGCATACTTGGTCTTTACCCAAGCAACGAACATGTTCATTGATCCTATGCGGGTCTTCAGAGTAGCAGTCGCCTTCTTTCGGAAGAAATCCTCCAAAATTCGCGCTGCTGACTCATCGTTACCAACGCACTTGAGCAATGTTCTGCCAGGCATTGTCGACTCAGGCTCGAGCAGGACAAGTTCTGCCCACTTCAGCCAGACGTTTGCTCATTCCGAATCTGGGGATTTGTAGATCTGATCGTACACAGAGTCACGCACCAACATGTTTCTTTCAGCTAAGGGCAAGGCTTCTAGCTTCTGCTTCTTGGTAACTGGAGGCGCCGAGGCCGACTTCGAAACATCGGAAGTGCTGGCGCCCCAGGAGTGAGAGGATCGCCAAAGACATCTGGCAAGAAAATGGCTGCTCTCCCATGGCTGCCTGGGATACGAGTGAGAAGTGCCTAGGGCTTTTTAGCGGAATCTAGAGCCTTTTAATGTGAGAGTTACTTCAACTCAGGCTCACCCATCCACCCACCACTTGATTTTTGTCAGAGGCGTTCACTCCGCACACTTGAACAATCTTCGACAAAGAAACATGCTTGCATCAAAAAGTTTCATATGCCTGGAATCCGTTTGACCGTTTTGACCTCTGTTTTGATGGGAAAAGACCATATTTTGGGTGGTTCGGGGTCCAAAAGAGAGGTCATTCAGGTTCTAGGTATACAAGAAGAGCAATCTCCGAGGTGCACTGACGATCCTCGAAGCCCTCGACCACCTGCTGATAGGCTTCCTCGGGGTTCCGCAGGAGCGACTGGCCTGACGGCGGCAGAGGGGGCCGTTTCGAAGCAAAGGAGAAGCACACCCGTTTGGGCTCCACCGTCGTACCTTCGTTTCGGTTTGGTGGGACTGTGGGGTGGGTGCCAGGAGGGTCCGGTCGTACCTTCTGAGGAGGTACGACTGGAGCCCTAGGGACAGGTTCTGGCTTTGACGCGCATGTTGTCTTTTTCAGGGAGCCGCAGCTTGTTTCTGAGAAGGCACTTGTCAAAAATCCTGTCTCATCCACTGTCTCACTCATCTTCGCTCTATCCAATCAAAGTGGTCCTCTTCAGTTCGCCCTGCCGCCCTGCCTTCTTCCTGGTGCACGGTGCCTTTCACCGTCACCTCACCTGCCAGCTCAACGGATTTTGGGCTCGGATCCAGAGCCGACGTCTTGGATTCGGCGTTGGGAGGCGCGAAGCAACAGCAAACACCGCTGACGCTGAGCATTCGCTGGTTCCTGACGCTGGAGCTTTCGCCCTCCCGAACTGCTAGCCTCCCGATGCCTGGAAGAAAGCATGCGACTCTACCTGCATATACTGATCGCTCAAATCCCAAGTGGTAGCGAATGGAACCAGGTGAAACTTGCTCCAACCACCCACTCATCCCCAGCCTTTCTCCTCGTTCTCACTGACCACCGTGCCGGTCACCGTCGCAGAACCTGTGCAGGTCGCGGACAGCGGGGGCAGTGGCAGAGCTGCTGGTCACTCTTTGTTGCGCCAGGCAGGCGGATTTGGATGCCTAGCTGTTGGGAGACGTGTCTTGATGATTCTTTTTCTGTTTTTTGGACCAGGCGGTGAACGGGTGGGATCTTCTTCACTTTCACCCCATTCCGCCTGCTTGGTTGCTACCAACACGTACCAAGCTCCAAGCTCCACACCGAACCGAACCGAACCGAACCGCCCGCGCCTGCGGGCGGATCGCGCTTCCCGCGGCGCCCGGTGGCCCTGGCGGACGGACGGCGGCCGGGGTCGAAAGGCGGTGGTCCGGACGGCGCCTCCGTTCGTTCCACCAAAGCACCGGAAAGCTGAGCAAGAAGATGCCAAAGCCCAGCCAGGGAGTGAGGACCACATACCTCACAAAAACCCATCCAAGGACCTCCCGACACAGCTTCAAGCTGTGAAGTACGCAGAACTGGAGACTTTCAGGACATCTCTCAGACCTGAGACCTTTCCTCTAAAACTCTCCCCTCGGCCCCGAGATTTCTTCCCGGTTCAGCCGAATTCGATGCCTTGCAGATACCTTGATGCCTCAGGTGACCCGAACACTCCGGCCCGTGCGTGTCTTCTGCCTTTGGCATTTTGCTCGGCAGAGGCCTCACGGCAAGTTCACGGCGAGTTCCGGCTAAGAAGGGACGACCGCGCGCCAGCCCAGCGCGCGTGGACATATCCTCCTGATCGGCCCAGCGGCAGCATCCCCTGCGTGGTTTTGGGTTTGCTCTTCTCCTCCGTGGCACTGTCCATGTCATCCGCAACTGAGCTCCGAGCAGAAGGAACCAGCGGAGATGGTGATGAGAAAGAGCTGGGAGAACTGAGAAATGCGTGTGTCTTGTCATCCGAAGTATCCACATGGAACAACAATGTAGTAAGCATTAATGATTTAAATGGTTCTGTATAGAAATAGAAGAAGAAAAACAAGAAGGAGAAGAAGAAGAAGAAGATCATGCCGTGGTGGCGCAAGATGCTTCCCCCCAACTTCTTGAGCCATGCCCATCATCTCGAAGGGCTGAAACAGCTGACTGTTTCAGGGCACTGCGTCAGCCTGGATACTTCTTGTGTCGTAGAAGTTGAAGAATTCTGCCCAAATCCAAGGAGTCTCAATCTGTTGAAAAGACATCCATGCGAATCAACACAACATTGTGGTGGTAGAAGTTCCCCACTCAGAAGAGAGACTCAGATGAAGCAAAATGAGAAAAACTCCGGGTAAGAACCCAGTTGCACAAGTGGTCTTCTCTGCCAGTTCAGACCGATCAGTTCAGCACAAGAATGCGGGACTGATGTGGACTGATCAAAAAAAGCTCGCCAAAATGCCGGGATTGTAAAGCCTCAGGTCTGATGGGTTGAATCCAAAAAAGACTCCTTACTTTCAAAACCTCTTCTGGAATCTTCTGGGAGTGAACCGAAGGCCGTTCGACCGAACCAGGCAGGGACGGCGGAAAGCCTCCCTCGACTCGACTCTCTGCGCTACATCCTCTGCCGGGCTGCGCGCCAGGAACGGGTTCGTCCAGCGGTGGGGCGTCGTCGCATGCAGCTGCCGCGCGGGGAGGCGCGGCGCGGAGAGCAGCGACATGGCGGTGGGAGCGAAAGACGAAGTCGCCACGGTGACGAGCTGACGGAGATGGCGTGAAAAGGGCTCTGGTGGCTACCGTATGCTGTGAGTTTTTTGGATCCAACAGCGAAGGTTTGTGGACCTTTGTGGAGGCAATTGAGGGGTGCGCTGGCATGCACTGGCCAAACATACAAAAACTGTTGAGCAGCAAGGGCAGCTCGCTTGGAGTCTCGTGATCCTCGGTGGCGCAAACGTGACACATCTGACTGGGAAGCTCCGACGGTGGAGGCATCCAAAAGCAAGGAGCAGCTCTTGTGTTCCATGGACATGTCGTCCCCAATGCCCAATCCTGTTGCAGCCTGCTTCACCCCCAAGCCATCCACAAAGGTGCTCTGACATGACTGTGCCCTATTGGAATTCGCCCCTGCAAAAGAGAAGTTGGATCAAGACTCTCACGGTGAAAACAAACATCTGTGAGAGTCTTGACATGGAGATATAATTTTGATTTGGGATTTCTCTACTCTCCTTTTTACTCCTCCATCACCTCTCCGTCACCTCTCCGTCACCTCTCATCTCTCTCCCACTTCCGAACTCCTCTCTACTTCGGCCCGGGTTACCGCAATCTACCCCCCAATCTCTCCATCTTCCGTCCTGGATCTGCTCACTGTTGTAGCCCATGTCCTTGATATGTCCAGCCTCGAGCTTTCGGCGGCGCACGGCGCACGGTGGGAGCGAGTGGCCGCCCCACATATGTCCAAGCAAGAAATCCAAACCAGGAACCTGAAAATAAGATTCAGAAAGGGTAGAATAGAAAAACTGAGTCTGTAAATGACGAGTCCTCTCTCCAATCATGCACCGTTCGGCCTCGACCTGGCGCGCTTCCACGCGGCAGAGCTCCCGGAGCCGCTGCAGCACCAGCCGCACCTCCGTTGAGAAACGGCGGAGGTTTGGTGAGAAACGGGAGTCCTCGTGAAACCTTGGGTCTTTCGGGCTGTGTGTGGTGGTGGTGGGTGAGTGGTGGTGGTGGTGGTGAGGGTTGGATGGGCTCCATCTGGTGTCCTTGTTGGGTGTGGACTAGGTGATAGATAGAAGCCATGCTCTTCAGACGTGAAAGCAATGATGCCCAAACATCATTGGAATCCAACAACCTGAGGGTGTACGGAGTGGTTGGTGGGCTGGCTGAAGCATCTACTGGCTCTTTGTGGCATTCAAAAGCTTTGGGTGGCCAGACCAAGACAAGCCACTGTCCTTTCCTACTAGTTTGATCCATCAACAGTGGGAGGAGGCTCCAGTTCATGGATACTTTGGAGTAAGAACGTTGTATGATCTTAGCCTGTCACCAACCACTTCCCCTTCAAAAGCAAACATCCCAGCACCCCAGCTGTCAGTCCATGATGTACAGAAACCCGAGAACAACACTTCTGAGGGACTCTTCCATCCCACTTGACCACACGTCCCCGCAAAAAAAGGCCCGTGAAATCAGACGGGAAAAAACACGTTCTTGCGCAC